TGGATGAAAGTGGACGATGATACAGTTTGAATATCTGACCGACGACCCGTTAATTTTTATTTAGTCTCGTTTCGTTGACTAAAACTTAAACCTATGCCTAGTCATGTTTTATTCATCAAAGATCCATGTTTAGCTCATCAGTTTTTCTTTATCGTCAACAAAGGAGTGTCCACAAAATGATTTCGTCATCCTCATCGTTGATGAAAACAAACAAAAAACACCAAACTAATGTGCAGACTAGAATAATAAATATTTTGTGAAAAAAAAAGACTTAAGACAACATGTCTAACATTGGTAACAAAAACTAAAACAAAAACATTTTCAAGTCAGTTATCTTTGCATAATATCTTTCATTTTTGAAGGAAGATAAGGAAATTATTTAATGCTTTTCGGTGGTAACACAAACTTTTCTGGAAGTATTTTAAGCCCTAGCTTCAAACTAAAAATGATTTAACCAATGGATGACTGACAAATTTTTCTGCTGACTTTAGGTCTCATACATTTTTTTTCCCATCACATTAAGTCAAGAATATTTTTATTTTTTATTTTAAGACCATAATGAAATTCTGCTAAGAAACCACTTCAAATTGTACATAAGAAATAACCTATAAGAAATAATGATGATGAGGGACCTATTTGTTTAGCAACCAAAAATCAAATTAAAACAGACCATACAACTTTTATTTTAATAATACTAACAAGGTAGAAACACATTTAAGTTTTTAAGTTTTTTTCTGAAAGCAGTCAATTTTTCTGTTGAATAAATAAATAAAAATTAAATGGTTGTATGTAGTATGATGTGTTTTAACAAGGTTTTTTAGAGACTCTTAATTTAAAGTTGTACAGTATAATCTAACCCTGCTTTATCCCAGTATTAAAAATGGCGCAGAGTAAAAATTAAATATCTGGGTAAAATATGGGCAAAAACCATATTAAACTTTAATAAGAATAATTGCCAAAAAGAGCCCAACAGATTTTGCTTTCACAAGTGGAGCAGTGCGGCTATCGCCATAGTGTTCCGCTTGATTTATGCATATAAAAAGCTTTATTATAATTATACAGGGAGTTTTACAGATTATATGGACACTGCAATGTAAGTAGAACAGAAAGGGAAAAACAGTAAAAAAGGAGAAAAGATGAAAGAAAGAGGAGATAAAAGGGAGATAACTATAAAACATTTTCAGTCTGCTGCACCACCTGCAAAGAGATGTAAAACGAACAACACAACCAACGGACATGGTACAAGACATACAATAAAGTAACACCTAGATACTATAGCTGAGGTATAAGTAGTATTTAATCTGACATGTATTCTGTGGTAGGCCTACCTGAAGATAAGAATATGGGCTTTCTGTATGGAAGTGAATCTCTAAGTACCTGGAACCAAGCACCTGTACAGGTGTATATTAAACTTTTCAAGAGGGAGTTTTAATTAACTCTGTGATCATTGCTGAACAACTAAAGGTAATAAAACAACACAATGTTGTGTTTAATGACATTCAGTTTAAGGTGGGAGATTAAATGTTGTTACTCCAGGTGAAATCTTACCTTCCTTGTTTTCCCCTCGTCCCAGTCATGCTGACACCAAGCACGTCTCCCTCGCTACCTCCTGGATCCAGCTCACCTGCCTGTCCGCCAATCAACACTCCCTCTGAGCAGGCTCGAACTGGAAACGATTTTCGGTCGTGGCATTTTTTTATCTACACCGGCCCACTTATGGACCCCCACAGAGGGATGTTTGCCTCTCTGCTGTCCTTCAGTCTAGCTCAGTCTAGCCTTAGTTAGGACTTCCTGATATCCGCCACTTCAGTTGTGTTTCAGTGGTACATCCCATGTAGGGGCCTATGGGCCTATCCTGCAATGACGGAACCTCAAGCACCTCATCTTCTGTTCCCCATTTACATTCACATAGCACATCACCTGTTGGAGCCTTATATATATATATATATATATATATATATATATATATATA